CTACGCTGCACAGCACCACGTGTTTGCAACAGTGGGCTGAATCAAACTAATCCCGACAGACCAGTCATGGCTGATTAGTTTCCCCGATAGATAAAAACAAAATATACTTTCAGCGAGTATTTAACATTAATTCCTCTTCCCACTGTTGACCATGTTGGGATATTTTCTCCCGACAGACTTCAACAGACCAGAAATTATCCTGCAACCAACAAATATTGAGCAAGCACTTAGGGCAAAAAAAAAAGTCCCAAACACAATTCAACAGTGTCCCAAATCCAGAGATTTAATAGCTCCCACTCAGAGCTCAATGTAGCTACAGCTACACAAGATTTGTGTTTCTGTTTGGTCTTTAATCTGTGTTTGGGACTGTGTTTATGTGTGCATGCCTGCACATGAACAAGCATACACACAGGTCCCCCAGACTTTCAGAAAATTCTGATCTGATGTAGTGAGATCAAAATTTTGCTGCAGGATAATATTAAATGTGCTGTAGTAAAGCTTTATGTAGTTACTGATGGAAACAATAACCCAGTACTGAGTCAGTAACAGGACTTGTAAGAGCAACGTGTGAACCCATTCTTAGGAACCTGGGCCTTTGCATTGTTTGTACAACTGCTCATGAACACAAATAAAAACTTCAAAAGAGGATGTTTGAAGGGTCTCGAATTGAAAGAACTTAATGTGAAGGACTCACTGTTGTCCAGCTTCATAGATGTGACGCATGGTCAAACTAAAAAGTCTGCTTCACTCAATGCAGCCAGGACACTGTGCTGTGGGACACTGTCACCGGTCCTCAGCCCTCCTCCTGCTCGATATCTACCCATCAGTCGTCCCGGGCTGAAGTGATGGTCCATAGCTGCCTGAGGGATCAGAGTGGTGCTGTTTCTCCACCCAGCCTGAACCTCTCCAGCTGCTACACAGCAATGCCTGATGACAACTTACTCCATGTGGACGGCCAAGCGGGTGTGGACCCAGAAACAATGCCTGATAACACTGCAGCTTTTCCACCACTGGTGGCTGATGACACCAGAGCGGCCGGCAACCCCATCATGAAGCCAAATAAACGGACCTCATCCCAGCGTAGGATGCTACAGTTACAGCATTCTCCTTTCTGGGCACAAAGTAAGGACTATGCACTTCTCTTGCGTAAGAACACACAGCCTTAATCTGTCATGCCAAAAACTGATTTTCCCCGATTTGGCAAAAAAAAGAAAAGAAAAGTATTTAAATTGTTGTAAATGACTTGTTGGTATATAATCTGTCTAACATATAAAGTTATTTTGGGTCACAGAGCAAATTCCTGTCACAAGACAGAAGCTGCAATCAGCTTTTGGCAAAGTGACTTTTTTCTATCCTGCATTTATCCGGATTAAAAGTTTCACTGGCGTTAGAAATGTCCCTTTCAAGAGTGAGCCGGCCAAGAGGGCAACAAATATAAGATAATAGTTCCATAAAGATTTTCTAATTAGCCAAAAAGGACTGAATAGATTATAATGTCATGTCAGAATCATAAAGACGCTTTCAAAACAGGCAGTTTTTTAATTTTATATATAACCTCTTTCTTAATCTTGTTCACTACAGCCTATTTGCCATTATAAACAACAATATTACACATGAAAAACACAGAAACAACAGAAATCACGTTTTGGCATGACAGCAGCTAGTCTGGTAATGATTAGTTGTGCTTTATTTAGCAGCTCCCCTTTCAGGCCTCACCAACTGAGTATGCCGGATTGCCCTCCTGTGTTCATAATGCCCATTATCCGTTTTAATAAACCAAGATCACAATTTCAAACAAAAAGACCCAGTTATAGTATTTCACCAACCTCATATTTCACTGATGCTGCCGTTTTTTTTACCAATCCCTGTAATTATAAAGGCACAGAAGCAAACTGTCTCATTTTCATCAAATTTCTACTTCCGGACTTAATCATCTAATTCCTTTGCCCTCTAAATCACAGCCCTCAAAGCCTCTAAGTCCAGCAGTTACTGCCCTTCTTAACTGCAGATCTTTAATCTTCTGCCCATTATCTGTGACCTTCTGTTCTGCTAACATGTGTGTATGTAGGAATGAATGAAAGCCTGTGGGCTTGACTCTGTGTTTGCATGTGTAACCATTTAGACTTTTTTAAGTGTTTTTATCCAAATTGTGAAGCACTTTGTAACTGTTTGTTTTAAAAAGTGCTATACATATAAAGTTGTTATTGTTATGTATGACTGCTGATTTTGCCTTTGGGGGCATGGGTCAATTTGTCCGGGCTTTCAGTACAACAAGAACTTCCTGTCTACTTCCTGTTCCAACGAATGCAGACAGATCAAAGAAAGGAAGTTTCCAGGTTGAGTTTCAGCAGATGAAGTCTCTCTTTTGCTCTTGCCACATACAGTTTAACTCTAAATGCAATCAGAGGCACCTCAGACGTGGTTGGTCAGTTGATTAGTCTACTCGAACTACAAACAGAGTACAAATAGGAACCAGAAAACCTGCGGTGGAAAGAATCTTGCCCACAGATTTCAGATTCATATGTTTTAATGAAGACGGTTCAGAAGGTTCTGAGTAATCATCACTGAGTGATACAATTTGACAGAAACGTACTGCAAAAGACAACTTTTGCTTGAATGATTGACTGCTTTGACAGTATTAGACTGTTCTGTGTTACCAGTTTGATTCGAATATACTTGAAAGTTAAATCCAAACCGGAAAACTGAAGATTTACTAGATGAGAAAATGATAAAGGTTACATTGCCTGCATAGGAACCTCAATACGCAGTTGTGACTTCACTAAAAAAAAAAAACTGAGACTAGGTGATATTTTGTCTTTTTCTTTCTGAATTTGCAGGTTTTCCTCTCTGTTGCTTATTGACAACTGGGAAAAGGTATCAAATGTTGAGATTCTCATTGCTCTACTATAAAAGCAGCAGTTCAAGTAATATTAAGCAGACGTGATACAGTCTATAAACACTTGTGAAATGTGCCTTCAGAAAATGTCACCCACACTTGTTTGTCAATAAACCCCTGCACTGGGAGGCCGAATACACTGAAACTCATTTGGCAAGCTCATTTTTGGCACAGCTGGCTGGTTTCAAGTGTGAGAAGGACAGAAGCGGGAAAGACACTGTGTCACTGTGGGTGCCAGGTATGGCTGCGTGGTGCATTTTGGGTACTGAACGACAGAGGTTGGTGAGTGTGGTGTGGCATTTACCCAGCAGCAGGTTGACTAGGACCTCCTGTCCAGCCAGGGTATTACTCCGTGTGAGACACACGATAGTGCCAATGATCCACGTGATGCCATGCCCCGTGAGAGCCAACAGAGCAACCATGGAGCGGCAGCCTCCCCAGGAGGACGACGTGTAGGCGCACACCCCCATGCGCTTGGACAGGCAGATGTCAATGGCAAGCAGGGAGTTCATTGCTATTCCTTTGAAGGAAGGGTTCAGCTGCATGCAGTCTTCCTCTGGCATTTTGGTGGACTCTCTTCTGTCCCTGCTGCCTCTGTCGGTAGGTTCTTCACTCTGCTGACTTGTTTGGTGCTTGATTTGACCCAGTCGCCTTGAGCTGCCTCGGCTCTCAGCGGGGGCCCCGCCGCTACAGAGGGGCTGATGGTTGAGGGACATAAACTCAGGTCTGCCCAGGACGCTGTTTCTCTCCCGCGCCCTGGATCTCACACTGGAGGGCATACTGGGGGTGTTGGGGCCAAGTTTTCTTCTGTGGCTATAATAACCGATTGCCAATCTCCAGAAGATAATGCAAGTGGTGCAAGACAGTGAAATGTCCCAGGATAAACCCCCCTCCCCTCCCCTGCCTACACCACTCCTCCCCCACCTCCTGTGGCCTTAATAGATATATTTAGACACGCTGGAATGCACGTTGTCTGTGGTGTTTATGCCATGCGGGGAGGAAGAGTGTATTGAATAGCATCTGCTCCGTCCAATCCAGAGAAACACGATCTAAAGCACGGAGATAAAAATTACAACATGAGCATTTCGTTACGCACCGATACACCACTAACAGGTGCCTCACTGCGCGTGCTTTTGGTGGAAATCAAGCTCAGTGCAAATTTAAAACAAAAGAAGAAAGGAAAACACTGTGTAAAGAGACTACGAAAGACACGGCGTTGTCATCTTACCGAGCGAAGAAAGGAGAGCACGGGAGCGCGCACATCTCTCTAAATCCTCTCCGATATACAGAGAGGACGTTCACGTATATAAAGCGATCCGCGCAAAATCAGAGGAAAGTTGACAATCACCAAACCGTCGACAAGAAAAGGGAAAAGACAAGGCAGCGCAGCGCAGGCAGTGCAGCGTTTGCTTGTTCCTGGCGGATTTGACGTAGCTTACGCACGATTCCCGATTCAGCCTGGGCGCTGCGCTCCAGCGCCGACAGCGGAGTTCTCCAAGGTGCTTAAACAGACAGCGCCAGGACTCACAGAAACCCCGCATTCGGCTTTATTACACACAAAGACAGGGGGCAGGGCTTATGGAGGGCCACGGAAACTATTTCAAATGTTCAGAAATGGTTAAAAAAAAAGAGAGAAAAAAAAGAAAAGAAAAGAAAAAGCGATGAGCACACAACCTACATTTTTACAGAATTTATCGCACCGATCAGACCATTTGTTGTCTGCTACTGCCACACTACAGCAAAATACATAAGTAAATCAAAATTTATCAATCATTTATAATTTATTTAAAGCTGACTGTGATCCACTGATTAGTCAGTGGAAAGACATTTCCAAAACCCCCACAAAGATGATTTCATTTGTCTGTGTCCAAATTTTCAATACCACCCAAAGAGAGCGGACACGCGTCTTAAGTTACCTGTGGGGGCTCTTTTAGGCTCTCAAAAATCACTTACTAATTATATGTTATCAGTTATAATTATAACCTTCTCAAAATGAGGGACCTTTAGCCTCCATTTCCCAGCATGCTTGCAACACTCGCAGAGCGGAAGTGTCGTCAGGAAGACTACTAAAAGCTGCTTCCCAGGCAGCTCAGATAGACCAATGCGTGTCGGGGTGAACCTGCCGAGGCAGAGATGGGACGAGCGCGGAGAAATGACAGCTTGTGCAGGAATTTAGGCTGAACTGCAGCCCATCTCTCGGAGCACTGCAGCTGTCCGCTCGGTCGAACTATGTAACAGTTGGAATTTCTTCCATCAGAGCTGCATTATACATATTTTGTATCTATATATTATTATTATTTTTTATTTAGTTTGACACCTGATCCCGTGGAATGGTCGCAAAAGTTGACCCGGCGCCGTCCTTTTGGATGTTGCGGTGCTCAGTCTCAAACTCGACCAGACTGTCAGCGCTCGGAGAAATGCTACCTCTGTTAACGGGACGCTGAAATTGTTTGCAATTGGAAGGAAAGGGGAGAGAAGGGGACGAAGAAATAAATAACGGGATCGGTTGTGGAAGGAGATAACGGAATTACCTCTGTGACCGGAGAACTGTGCGAGCCGCCGTTTACGCTGAATTTCTCCAGGATTTCGCCCCAAACAATTCAGTGGAGACTTTCCAGTGAATTGTTTTATAGGTAGACTTTCTTTCTTCTTCTTTTTTTTTTTGCATGTTGCTTTGTCGGCTTTAAAAACGGGAAAGAAAAAAACAGACCTCAGTTCGTAATTGTACTGCCAGAACCTCTGCTTCGCAGATGTAGCGTTCAATGGTACTTTTCCTTATGAGAAACTGAAGCCAATATTTTAAGTTTGGTGGAACATTTTACGCTTTTGTCAAACGGACTTTCGGCTACTCCGCGTTACACTAGAGGCATTTTAAACTGTGGGCGTCCACTCTTGAAAACCTCCAATATTTGTGATTAGGATTCTCGTCACCAGCTGGACGCAGTCACAGGGTTATATCTTTTGAGTGCACACGCAAAGGAGAATCTGATGCCAAGCTGTAACACAAGTAGTTGTTTTTTTTTTTGCGAGTGTTAATTATTTAGCTCATACATGCCACGAACCTTTCCAAATGGACCCACTTTGCCCAAAGGCCAGAACTTTGTGTGGCAGTGTCTTGTAACTTTGGCAGCATGAAAACATCTGCGCTCGGATAAAAACATTTCTGGTGCCAGAGCCTGTTTTGGTGAAGCTGCGTTCACGCACTGGGAAGCATGCGCTCTGTTGTGAAGATTTTCTAGGCCTGCCTTCTTTTGTAGTTTTGGATAAAAGAAAAAGAATGCATGGCTTTTCGTGAGAAACATTGCTTCATATAAATACTTTCTTTGTGCTGGTAAACCATTTTTTCTTCTCTCTGTTGGGGAAACATGATGTGGAACCAACTGTGGTGATCGTTTGCTTGTTTCCATGCGTCTTTCCTCTCCTCCAGACTGCTGGACGTTCTTGTGGACTGTGTTGCTATTTAATGCAATGGGCTGCATCCAGAGTATCAGATGTAAGCCCAAGAGTTTCCGAGACAGCATCGTCATCCTGGAGCTGAACGCTACTATCGACTCCAACCCCACCAGCATCGACGAGACATCCGGCGTGGTCTTGCGCTACCGGACGCCGCACTTTCGAGCGAACGCCCGAATACTGGTGCCACCAGTAGCAGCTAAGGAGACGTGGACCATCGGCTGGATCCAAGCCTGCAACCACATGGAGTTCTTTAACACGTATGGGGACAAAGGAATGTGAGTATCCTCGGGTCTTGTTGTTGCTTGGTCAGGTGTAAGGGATGACGGCGCGTTGAACGCATGTGGATGATTCAAATATGAAAAAAACAAAAATAACCTTTGACATCATTCCAGCTGATGAATAAATATGTCATTTGAGTTAGTTTGCAAGTGGCATTTTTTGCTATTGACACTTTTGGTCAATATTGGCTCTTCTACTTTTAATTAAATGAATTTTATTCCAGTTAGCCAACTGTGAGCTTGGTTTCCAAAAACTATTCAGATTATTTTGCCATTCTATTAGATTTAATCCACGACAAACCACAAAGAAAGTATCTAATGCTCACAAATGTTAGGGAACTAAACGTGCTTTCTAATGTACGACCCCAACACAGGGAAACAATCACAGCTTCACTACTTGTCTTAGTTCTGAGCAAGTTCTGAGCAAAAGCTCAGAACTTGAAACTATTTAGCTCACAGATGTGACAAAGAGAAGTTAAAATTTAAGAGACTTAAAGCTGACACTGTTATAACAACTTTTTGGGAGTGCTTACATCTTGAAAATGTGAAGAGTCCAAGTAGGAAGACTTTAATTGGATCAAAAAATCTGCCAGGAACAGTTACTGAAAGGACGTCTAGGTAAAAGGTTTAACCAGTTTAACATAAGCAAATGAGCTTGAGTTCTTTAAGTACGGGCAAAGACGAGTAGCAGAAAGAGTCAGTGCCAGCCACCCAACAGAGCCAGAACCTTAATTCCTGTGTAATTTATGGTTTAAATTGTAAGAATATCTCAGTTTCTGGTTTATATTGCAAATAATGCTAAAATTACTCCTTAGAGGAAATATTTCACAGTAGTGAAACTAGCCTACGGTTGCATGTGGTTCTCCCAGTTCAGCAAGGGCACACGTGTGTGTCATGCAAGCGGAACGTCACATATTAGCATCAGTTTTAAAGAACTTAAAAGATAACTGTGAGTGTGTTTTAATAATCAATAGCTTGACTGTCCCCACAACACATGGGCTTTAAGCATATGCTTGCAGGCTGCAAACGCCTTCAAGAGCTTACACGTGTTTGAGTGCGGGACACTGATGAGAAATAATAGTTGCTGTAACCTTTCTGATGCCCCCTTGGAGTGGAGTTATTTTTTCATCAGTCGTTATTAATAAAGCAAACATGAACAAATGCTGCTTTTAACTGTGCTCATCTCACCCAGGGACTATAAAAAGGTCTCGCTCGCTCTTTAATTTCCTTTATTTCTCAGAACGAGTGTTTACATACGTAGGGTTTGTCTTGTATCATGTGATAGGCAAACGCAAGTTGATCCGTGTGCTTTATCTGTAGACACGGCAGCAGAGGATGTTTGGGTGCTGCACGACTAAGATTAGAGTCCCGTCCCAGACACCCCACACCCCAGTATGGGCCTGTATGACACAGAGAGAGGGACAGAGCCCAGTTACTTTCTGAAACTCAGTGTCACTGGGTCTTATTGGCCCTTTTATCTGGCTAGATTTTACACTTTCCATCTTTTGTCAAGTTCTTTTTTTATTTTTTTTTAGATAATGGTATACAAATACATGCTGAGAAGAAAACCCACATTCAAAACCATGCATGCATTTAAAAATGCTGAACTTGAAAAAGACGTTTTTCGCAATACACCAGTAATGAGAATGAAACATAGATGAAATGCAAATACATGTATGATCATTTAAACTAGCACCTGTAACTATCTGGTTACGCAGCATATAAGTGGTGGTATTGTACCCCTGTGTTTATCACCTCCCACCATAAAAAGACAAAAACATAGACACTATAAGCTCGCTGTCACCAACGCCACGTTCCCGAAACAGACAGAAAACAAAATAAATGACGCTGAAGACAAACTGATGGCATTATGCTTTTCTCATATTTTCCATAGCTGTTGACATTTTTTGACATTACTGGTAATGAATGTCTGATATCATGACTATATATAATTCCACTTACCACATTTTTTAGTCTTCTCAGAAACCACATAAGGGTACACTCACAACCATTTCATTAGTTCTACTATGCTAGTACCAGCTTGGACGCATTTTGCCTTCAGGATTGGATTGGATTCAAATTCTGACCCTCCTACCCAAATGTTGCAAAGAAATCGAGGCTCATCAGTTCAGGCAATGTTTCTCCAATCTTCTATTGTCCAGTTTTGGTGAGCCTCAGTTAGAAGTTAACAGGAATGGCACCTGGTGTGGTCTTGGCTGCTGTAACCCATTGCTGTCCATGTTCAACCTGTTGTGCATTAAGAGATGCTCTTCTGCAAACCATGATTGTATCAAGTGGTTATTTCATTTACTATGGCCTTCCTATCAGCTCAAAGCAGTCTGGCTATTCTTCCAAACTCTGGAATCAAAGAGACAAGTTCGCTCACTGCTTTTCCTTTTTTTCTCAGACCATTATCAACAAATCCTCAGACCAGCCCATCTGGCACCAACAACCATGCCATGTTTAAAGTCTTCAACGTGACTTAAATCACTTTTCTTTCTCTTTCTGTTGCTCACTTTGAACGTTAGCAGATTGTGTTGACCATGTCTACGCACCTAAAAACACCGAGTTGGTTCTGTGTGGTTAACTGTTAGATATTTGCGTTAATGATCAGTTGAACTGGTGTACCTGATGAAGTGGCCAGTGAGTGTGTAGTAAATGCACTCTTGACTTGAATTACCCTACATGACTGTAACAGATATGGTATATGTATATATAGCACTGCGCTGTATATAGGGGTGTTAGAATGTGCGCACCCAGATGTACAGCAGTGTTTACAGAGGGAAAATCCTTGAATCTCGTGCATTCGAACATTGACTTTAAATCATTGTCCAGTGTTAGGAACGCTAAGCATTTCTTTCCTGCAAAGACAAACAATGAAAGAAAAGGCTATTCCTTATGTACATTTTTAAAGGCACACTTAGGTTGTAAGAGATGAGTCTGCTACCGCTGCTGAGACTCTCATACTAAGTAGCTCCTTTGATGCTAATAAAACTTCAGTGTACTGTAATTGGACAGAACAGCCAAGGATGGTAATGCTGCTGATTTCTCTGCTGGCTTTGGATGATGTGCTCGGGATTCTGTTTGCATCCATCACTTCTTCTCCCTCGTGCACCCATGGGCTTTTAACGAGGTGCAGTTTATCGAGTTTGAACAGTTTGTGTGTATTCAGAAAAAAAACATAACAGACATGCACAAAGAAAAAAAAAAATCCAATTTGTTATAGCTACGTCTTGAAAGAAATCGTATCCCTGTTGCATATAGAACATAACAGTCATGGGAGGAACATTTATTTTCACAGAAAACGGTGAAGCTCAATGATGATGCAATTATCTTGTTGATTGCTCTGACACCCTGTTGTCTTTACTTTTGTTCCTAGTCTTCAGTCTCCGTGGGGGAGGGGGGGGAAAAGAAGCATTTCCTGGGCGTCTTTATCATTTCTTTCTTTCTTTTTAAAAAATCAAACAGACTGCTTTCCAAACTATTTGCCAGCAACATGCAAACGAGTGTGAGAGCAAAGGTGCAAAAACAGGAAATAAGCAATTTCACTGCTTGCTTTTGTTCGCAGTTGTGATGGGACCTTTTCAGTGCATGGACAAATCCTCAAAAAAGCTTATTTAAAATCCTTTCTTTCGGCATAAAGCTTTAACTTTTCATATATAATTCAGTTTTAAATAGATTCTTATTTAGAACACATTTTGGTAGGCAGCTTTCAGTTTTGACATGCAGCGTACGAGGCCTAAGACCGGAAGAATTCTAGGTGAGAGGGAATCACAACTATCTTTATGACAGCAGCGGTTACAGGTTTTTTTAAGACTTGCCACATGAGCTAAACTACCTCTTCTGTAACATCACACAATTCATTCATTAGAGGTGAATAAACCAGATGTCATTTACTGCATACTCAAAGTGGGGGTTTTTGCAAAGAATTTGTCATACAGTTAAACTCAGTATCTTGGTCAAGTTGCTCAATTTTCCACTGATCCATTTCTTTAAAAGTTTTTTTTATTGCCCTTCTATCACCACGCATTCAGTATTTCTGTAATACTTTTAGCCATTTACACCTTTTTAGCCATTTTCTCAGACATGGATTAGGCCTAAGGCTAGACTGAACGTTTAAATCCAGCGAGCTTCTCCTTTGAAACAAAGTTTTTAGTCTAACACTCATCTCAATCTATGTCTGGGAAACAGAGTCTGTCTTTATTCACGCTAACTCTGAGAGTTACATGTTAAAACTTTTCTGCTTTCCAAATATAGATAATAATTTAGATATTTGTATCTATGGTCTTGCACACTTAACATTATACAGAAACTGACATGCTCACAAGTCACGGTGTAAAAAATGGCCTAGCAGCTCTTTAAAAAAGAATGAAGAAAAAAAAAAAGAGTGGGTGAATCATTTCAGCGTGTCTGCGGTTGTGTCACAAACACGACCTATGGGAGGCCATTTGCTTGTGACAAAGCAGGCAGTGAAGGCGCAAACAGGAAGTAAGCCCTATCTCTGCAGTGCTTTCCCCAGGCGTGATCAAAGTTCCTCAGCGTGTAGATGAGCCCGCAGCTCTAGGTTAATCCTCCTCCGATACATGTGCTCTTTTTACACTCAATGAAACACAAGCTTGAGGTTTACCGTAAATCATACAGTCATAAATGATGAATTGGAAGAATTTTCAACAGAAAGGTGTCAAATAATTTGAATTGAGGAAATGTGTGAGTTCATGACAAAATGGAGAGTTGCTACAAAATGTTTGGGAGGCATCGTATTAGAGGATGAAGGGATCCTTCAGAACAGAAATGCACATTTGCACACAGACACACACGGGCCTGCTATTAGCATGCCTGACATGCTAATCTCACCAACCCCCCTGGGTGAATTCATAAATCACAATGTGAGGCCAGGCGTAGCAGGCTAGTAAGTCATGCGGGCTGGTGATCGCACTGTTATCTCTGTTCTGCTGAGCCTCGGTTTCTTTGAACGAAAGGTAATCTTTTTCCTGCTGCGGGAGGAAAATCGATAGGTGGACAGAGCAGAGGTGCAGGGTCGCTTAAGTCGTTCGGTGTCGCCCGCTGTGCATGTCAAAATATTTCATCACTGTATTGGGTTCCAGCTCAGCAGGACGTTACTGCTGGAAGCATCCAACTGTGAGACTTTGATCCAATTTACTGTTCCTGTCCTGCGTTTGGTAGATAGACAGGAAAATCTATCAACTGAGGAGGCCACACTTGTGGTTCCATTTATTATGTATTTACTGTTCTTCATCATTTTTTATCAGTGTTTTAAAGGGGTCAAATGACCTAAGATAAAAGGTCAGATTACTGTGCTGCGTCTTTCATACCCTGTTAAGCATTATTATATAACATTTTACATGTGCTTACATCCAGTTTTCCCTTCAAAAACAAATGATTTTAAATAAAGGACCAGTGTCTGTGAATCCTCATCTGTGCCTCCTTTCAACTTCCAGGTCAAGTTGGGAACTCCCTGATCTGCGTGACGGCAAGATCCAGGCCATCAGCGACTCAGACGGCGTCAACTACCCGTGGTACGGAAACACTACTGAAACCTGCACCGTCATAGGCCCCACCAAGAAGGACAGCAAATTCGTAGTCAGTATGAATGACAATTTTTACCCCAGCGTGACTTGGGGAGTGCCCGTCAGCGACAGCAATGTGCCTCAGCTCAGCAGCATCTTCCGCGACCAGAGCTTCACGACTTGGCTCGTGGCCATCAATCAGGCCACCTCAGAGACGCTGGTCCTGCAGACGATCCGCTGGAGGATGCGGCTGGACATAAAAGTGGACCCGGAGAAGCCGCTGGGTCAAAGGGCCGTTCTGAAAGAGCCCGTGGCCCAGGTACAGCCACAGATTCTGGGAAAGAATGAGCCCATCCCCCCCAACGCCATGGTCAAGCCCAATGCCAACGACGCCCAGGTGCTGATGTGGCGGCCAAAGACTGGTGACCCTGTGGTGGTCATCCCACCTAAATACTGACCTGTTTTCCCTCTGACTTTCACTGACTGGCCTTGGATACCTTAACAGTATCATCTTCTTCAGTTTCTTTCTTTTACTCCTGCTCCTCACCAGCTCTCACTGCTTTAACTCTTCTTTTTTTCTGTCTCTATATTCTCTCATGTTTGAAAATGAAACCAGCTCTCAGAAAACAAAACAAAAGACCAGCTGTTGCTTTGAGCTACGGGCTTGAACACTTTCTAAAGGCACTTTTGAAACCGGAGAAAATGCAACTATTCTACCTTCAGACTTGGTCGGGTCTCACTGTGCTAAACTGCAAAAACGAAAGAGAGCATTTGTTTTGTTTTTTTACAGTACTGTATAATTGTTTGAGCCAACCGACGTAGGGTTTGGGAGTCCAGGGCAGATTGAAGTTTTTCTATGACCGTGCGTGTGCAGGTGGATATGCACAAAGGTCATGAACAAGCATCAGTTGTGTTTTGTTTTGTTTTGTTAATTTATGGACTGGAAGAGAAGCGTATTTAATTGTATTTGATGTTATTGCTGTGTTCTCTACATGACAAATTGCATTGGGTGACATACTAGATTTTAGTACTTTTTAAAGAAAAAAAAAACATGCAAGACATTCAATCCATGCTGCCTTACATTACATTGCTTTCCACTGCGAACTTCTTAGCCTTAAACAAAGTGCAATGCAGTATGTGGTAAACTCATGCCCGTTCCTTCCAGACTGTTGGCGCTGGCACGTGTGGGTTTAGGACAGGAACCACAGCACTGAGGAAAAACTCGGGTTTCAGATCTTGGCTTCTGGGTTTCATTTACCTGCTGAATCTATTGTCTTAACAAACGCAACTGGCATTATGCACAGACACAGTTACACAACTGAGCTAACTAGCTGAGCTGTGTTTCAAGTGCTTTATGCAAGAGAGGAGATGCTCTGTGCAGATGGACATACAGAGAGGCGAGTCTCATCAGCAGCCCTCAGCACACACACATAAACACAAAAACATGCAATAACAACTTGAGCATAAAAAAACTCCACAGCTCACCTCATTTCACTTATTTTACTCAAACCTTTACTGTTTTAGCAAAGTAGCAGAAAACAAGTTCTCTTTTCTCGATATTACACCATCTCAGGGCCCCTTGTTACTTCCTTCCCTTCTCGAATCTTTTTTTCCACCCATCCTGTCTCGCCTCCTCCTTATCACATTGCTCACATTGAGCAATCAATATCTGTTATAAATAAGAAGGGAAATATTTTTTAATAAGTGGTCAATGAAAACAGCAGTCTGTCTTTTATTTTTTGCTCCTGCAATCTTTTTGTCATCGCGTTTTTATTGCTGCTGCCATTAATTTGCCTTCCATCTAATTTAATCCAATCATTTGTTCTATGTTAACAGATTTTTCTGTTTGTTCCCCCCCCGTCCCTCACCCTCAATCACTTTTAATCTTTATCTACCACCAGTGCTCCTCCTCCCACTCGCTCACTTCCTCTCTGCCTCTTTTATTTATTTTTTTCATCTGCTGTCGAGGCTGCAAAAGCAGAGCAGGAGGCATGCGAGTTTGATGCTCAGTTGGCATATAGATGACCCACTTCTCCTTAGCTCTCGCTGCAGAAATGTGGGGCCCGTGTTTTTTTATTTCACCGCTGGTGCACGACCCCCCCCACACACATACACACACATAAGGAAGTGGCTCTGGTCAGCTAAAGATCGACGGTCGATGAAACGATGCGTATTTAAGTGCTAATCTTTGAGAAGGGCTTTGGTGGTGAACTGAAACTGCTTGCAAAAGCGTGAAGAAACAGGCTAAATTTGGCAATAAGGGAGGAGGGGGACGGGGGTCATTTACTTATCAATGGTATCCCAAAAAACTATGGGTTGTGTAGACAGTTTTTCACTTCCAGTTGTTCGAAGCATCTTGCAATTTCCTTCCGCCCCTCCCCAGTCTGTGTGTGTTCAGCGCCAACTAAAGAAATCATCTGCATTCAAGTCTGATCTGCTCGTGCATTTCACAAAGGTCACTGGGCTGCTGTTTCAGAGTCCAAGCATCATACGCTGTATACCACCAGACTTGGTCCGGTCCTTCAGTGGCCCTACATCAGCCACTTTCACTGAGAAAGCAGGCACACACAAACGTAAATAATCACGATCTGTTCCACATAGGAGCGGAGTTTAATTAAGGTGACGGGTAACATCTGCGTTTACCTCGAGCAAAGAGCAGGCGGCTGGGTGGAGGGGTGGGGAGCGGGGGACGCTGAATGTGAAGGTGACAACAAACCGGATCCAACTTAGATCTTTGCAGCAGCTTAAAAATAACGCTGGCATTTTCAGAGAACTTGGATGTCAAGTTGCTTCAGCTTGTGGCTTGTAGTGAAGGTGATGCCGCTCATGCTGCGAACCCACCGACCTCTCTCGGGCAATAAGCGGCCCGTCTGCTCCGCGGAAAGCCGCGCGATGACCGGTGGACACCATGGATCGTACTCAAGTTGGACCACGTGTAATGTAATTAAGTGCTGACACACAGTCACTGACTTTCAGTGTGTGCGTGCGCTTTAATTCCCGCTGGGAGGATTTAGGCAAGATGAGGAGTTTCACTCATGTGCTTATGCTGTTGTTGAGTCATGACCCTCCCTCTGTCTTTCTCTCTCTAGTCACCCATCTCACTCACACACATAAGCAGAGGGCAGGGAAGGTTGTGTCCTTGTCATAAAATGAGCTTGCCCTCACAAACACACAAAATCACCCCGAGGCGAAGGGACCAGCCTGGCTTGGTATCTGTTTGTCACAGCAGTGTCACATTGGCAGTGAGAACTCATTTATCAGCCCGGCACGTGGACCGTCTGAACACATGCACAAGCCATATTCAGCAGCATGCCTGTTTACTAGAAAACAGGAAATGCTTCGCAGCATGTAAACATTGTATTGTAATTGTATTGTATTAAGATCCGAGAGAATTAAAGTACTGGGCTCACCAAGTGGGTGCCTGCCAGCTATCAACAGCATTTATGTAATACTGAAGGCAAAGGGCACCAATTGTCTTCTGTGTGTGTCTCAATCTTTTGAGCTTTGTGTAGATGAAAATGTGTTTTGTGTTTGTGCGGAAACTTCAAAAATGCTGTATGTGCTTCCTTGACTAAGCCACAGAAAAACAAAACCACAATGTTGTACTTTTGCTGTACAAATGGTGAAAAAACAAAGGTGCCAAAATTGGACAAAGCCAAAACTATGCATTGTTTTTAGAGACATGTGAACTCAAAAAGCTCTTGGCACTTAGTGACAGACCTGTTTCTTTGGTTGTTTTTTTATTGAATGCACGTTTGTATTTCCAGAGAAACATTATGAATATAGCCATGCTAGTAGGGCTGTGCCAAGTGAGTGTTTCCTCTCCTAAACCCACACCCTTTACAGTTCCTGTGAGGACTGCTAGCTTTGTTTCATTTCCTTATTTAGTTATCTAGTGAACTAAATTCAAATTGAGTTCACACTCAGGACCACCTGCCTTCATTTTCCGGCTTTTACTCTTGGCCATACCCCACGAAAGTTAGTATTCCACAGGTGCTGCTCCATTGTGCTGTTCTCCTCGTGTCAGCGATTATAAGTCGTCGTTTTAAATGTAGCCCAAAAGATAATAGGAGCAACTAAGTGTGTCCCTCCTTTCTTTTTGGTTTGTTTTCTGGAAATACAGCACTGAAACAGTTCAGGCCGAATGTGTTTTTTGGGAATTTTGTTCTGTTCTGCTTTGATTTTTACACCAATACTTGAAAATGGGTCAGTTCTGGTAAAATATTTAAAACTGTGAAAATGCACACCACTGGGGAAACAAACCCTCAGAAAAAA